GCCCCAGCCGGTGTGCTGCAGGTCCAACAGCCGCAGGCCCGGGCAGCCATCCAATGCCTCCTCCAGCTGCTCGCGCCCCAGCAGGCCGCAGGCCTGCAGCAGCAGCGACGCCAGCGCGGGGCACCGCAGCCGCAGCGCGCGCAGCTGGGTGCAGCCGCTGAGCTCGAGGTGCGCCAGCAGCGGCAGGTCGAGCGCCACGGCCTCGACAGCAGACAGGCCGAGGCGCAGCGCGCGCAGCGCCGTCAGCGCGCACGGCGCCGGGCGCCACGCGGGCGGCCGCCAGGCCGCGGGCCCGGCGCAGTGGGAGGCTGCCGGCGGGCCGGCCGCGTCGGCGGGGGCCGGCGCGAGGCCGAGGCACATCGAGCGGAGGCCGTGGCATCGCACCAAGCTCAGCGACTCCAGCATGCTGCCGCCACGCCGTCCGCCCCCGCCGCTGCCCTCGTCCCTGCCGTCGCGCCCCGCGTCGCCCGGGCCGCCGGCCGCAGGCGCCCCCTCCGCATCAGAAACCCCGTCGAGCTCCATAATTGCCGCCCCCGCCGCCGCCTCCGCCTCTGCATGCCCGTTCCCGTCCGCATGTGCGCGCCCGCCCCCCGGCCCCCGCGCGAGCGCGCGCCACACGCCGGCGGTGGCGCCGCCAACGCCGTTGAGGTGCAGCGCCGTCAGCCGGCCGCAGCGCAGCGGGAGCGCGTCCGCCAGCCAGCCGGGCAGGGGGCAGTACGACAGGTCCAGCTCCCGCAGCTCCGGCAGCGCCACTGGCCCCGCCGCCGCCGCCGCCGCCGCCGATGCCGGTTCTGCCGTGATCGGTGCGCCGCCGCGCCCACCTCGGCGTGGCCGATCCTGCACCCCGCCGCCATCCCCGCCCCACGCGCCGCCGTCGCCGCCGCCGCCGCCGCCGTCCCCGTCGCTACCGCCGCCGCCGCAGAGCCGCAGTAGGGAGGAGGGCTCGAGGTGCTTGCAGGACGACAGCGTGAGCGACGTGAGGCGCGGGCAGGCCTCGAATATGGGGGCGGCGTCGGAGACCTCCGAATAGGATAGGTCGAGGTGGCGCAGCGCGGTGAGGGCCGACAGCGCCGCCAGGCCGGCGCTGGTGATCTGGGGGGAGGGGAGGGACGCATGTGTGTGTGTATGCGTGCATGTGTGTGTGTATGTATATGTACATGTGTGTGTAGGTGTGTGTATATACGTACGTGGGTGACTGTGTGAGGGACACATGCGTAAATGCATGTGTATGAGTGCGCAAGGAGCAGGGTCAGGTGCAAATCGTTGCGGGGCGTGCAAAGATTTGGCAAAGCCAGGCGTCAGCGGCGGACACGTTGATGCCCGCCCCCCTGCCCCAGGTGCCCCGACCAGACCCACCCGCGGGCACACAGACAGCACCAGCCGCCGCAGGGGCGGCGGCGCCCCGGCCCCTCCCCCGCCGCCGCCGCCGCCGCCGCCGCTCGGCACCACGCCGCCGCTGGGGCCGCCGGGCAAAGGCAAGTGGCCGCCGCCACCCCCGTTGCCACCGCCGGCCAGGTCGCGGAGGGTGTCGTCCGACCAGGCCCCGCAGAAGGTGGCGTCCAGGTGCTGCAGGCTGCGGCAGGCCAGGGCGAGGCGCTCCAGGCTGCCGCAGCCGCGCAGGTCCAGGGAGGTGAGCTGGGGCGCCTGCGGTTTTGTATTTTGGGGGAGAGGGGAGGGCGAGGACCGGCGAACGGGATTGAGGACGAGGGTATGGCAGGGAAGGAGGAGGGGGGATCACACAAAAGTGTGTGTGTGTGTGTGTATGTGTGTGTGATATGGTGGGGCGGAATGCTCGCTGGTGGGGCGCCATCATGCAGCCAGCCCATGAACCCTCGCTCCTGCCATAACGCCTCACACGCACCCAGCGTGTGGATTGAGATGATATGCCACATGCGGCTGCAACACGCCTCAACCCTGAACAGTGAACGCGGCGACGCCAAACAGCCCCTGCCCGCGCCCCTGGCGTCGGCCGCTCGCCCTGCCCCGCGCCACGCCCCCCGCCCCTGGCGCGCACCGTCAGCGCCAGGCTGTGCAGCGCGCTGCACGCGCCGAGTGCCAGCGCGCGCAGCGCTGCGTCGCGCAGCGCCAGTTGTCGCAGTTCCGGGCAGTCCTCCAGCGCCAGCTCAGCGAGCGCCGGCAGGGCGGCCGTCAGGCCGGCCAGGCGGGGGCAGCCGGAGATGAGCAGGCGGCGCACGGTCCTTCAGAGGGGAAGGAGGGAGGGAGGGCGGCAGCGCAGGCGCGGTCGCGCCGATACGGGTTGGAATTGAAGAGTGATCCAATTGGTGCGGCCGCGCGGTGGGGGCGGCTGGCGATTATGTGCGGCCGCGGCTGCGGCTGGGCGAGGCCTGTTGTCGCAACCCGGCCATAGAGGCCCGACGCAAAACCGCAGCCAGGAAACCACAGCACCGGATGATTGCCGGGCCCCAACGAAACATAAACACAAGAAGAAGGACACGCACCCCGCCGCAGCCGCAGCTGCCGCGGCTGACCACGGTGGCGGGCGGCCCGCTCAGTTCGTGCCCAGCATCCGCGCCACGCCGCACATCTCTAATCTAGTCCCACCTGTGCTCCAGGCCAAGGTCCCGCAGTCCGCCGCAGCCCTCCAGCCGCAGGCACTCCAACATGGGGGCGCCCTCGCCGCCCGTGGCTGCGCCTGTGAGACACATGCACGGTGCAGGCCGAGGCGGGCGGCGGCGGGGCGTTGGCGGTCGGGCGGGGCCGGCAGGGGGCCGCAGAGAGCCGGTTTGACTTTTGCTCGACACGTCTTTGACCGGATCGGCCGCGCCGTGCGGCCGCGCCGTGTGGCTTGCCGTCTTCGGCGCCGGCCGCCCCGAGCCCCGACCGCAGCGGCGCCTCGAAGAAGAGAGCAAGAATGCCCGAAGCGCCCACCAATGTCATCACTGCACCCCGACCCCTTGGGCGCCCCGTCCCCGCCCCCCCTTCCCCCGGAGCGCACCCGGCGCGTGGCGCCCGCGGATCGCCGCCGCGAGCCCCGACGCCAGCAGCGCGTCGCAGTCCGCCGCCGCAAACTCGGACAGCAGCGGGCAGTCCAGCCGCACCGTGAGCAGTCCGGGCAGGGCGCGCAGCTCCAGCCGCCGCATCACGTCGGACTGGAGGGTGAGCGCGTGCAGCGAGGTGCAGCCGGGCAGCCCCGGCTGCGGCGGGTCAAGGCACAGGCGGCGCAGCTGGCGGCAGCGGAGGGTGAGGGAGCGCAGCGCGCGGCACCCTGCGAGGCGCGCCGACTGCGGGGCGGGGGTCGCGGGGCGGGCGGTGGGAGAGCGCGTGCGCGTGTCAGGCAGGGGTCTGCAAACGTACGCGCCTGCGACAGCGTTCTTAGGCTCACTGCTGCAAGCTGGCGCGCGAGCGGTGCGTTGCAGCGCGGCGCTCAAGCCCCGCGCGCCCCGACGCGCACGCACCGTCACCCGGCCGACTCCCACCCGCGCGGCCCCCCCTGACCCCTCCCACCCAGCCATCCCCCCGAGCCACCCGCCTTGATCCAGGGGTGCTGCACAGTCAGTGTGTGCAGTTGCACGCCCCCGTCCAGCAGCAGCTCCTCCAGGCGGGGGCTGCCCTCCAGCACCGCCGCCAGCCGCGCGCCGTCCGCGACGCCCTCGCAGGCGCGCAGCTCGAGCCGCGTGAGCGCGGGGAAGCCCTGGGGCCCCGGGGTGGGGGCGGCGCGGAAAAGGGGGGGTGTGGGACGCGAGAGGAGTGGGTGGATGCGAGAAGGGAGGTCGTGGGCGCGAGAGGGCGCGAAGGCCGAGCGCGGGGGGAGGGGGGCAGCCCAGGCGCAAGCACTCGGCTGCGGAGCCGACGGGTGGCAGCAAGGCGCAGGCTGGGCTGGAGTGCGCCGAGGGAGGCCCAGAATGTGAGCCTCAGCATGGGCAGCGGGCGCTGGGGGCAGGCCGCTGCGCGCCACACGGCAGGCGGGCAGGCACAGAGGTCCCGGACACCCCTGGAAGCTCAGCAGGCACCAGCACGGCCAACAAACCTCCCGCCTCTCCGCCCACCTGCTGCATACAACCTGCCATCCGAGCCCCCAACCCCAACCCCCATTGCATATGTCCCTCACGCCTCGCGCCCCGCGCCCCCACCTGCAGCCCGTTGAACGCCAGCGCCGTGCCGCACGCCTGCAGCGCAAGCACCTCCAGCGCCGGCAGCGCGCCCGCCGCCGCCCGCAGCGTCTCGTCGCTGACGCCCATCCCGCCAGACACCGACACGCGCCGCAGCGCGCTCAGCGAGGCCAGCGCCTCCCTCAGGCTGCCGTCCGACAGCGCGTGGCAGCCGGAGAGCTCCAGTGACGTCAGCGCGGGCAGGGCGGCCGGGGACATAAAGGCCACGCCGCTGGCGTGGATGGACAGCTGGCGCAGCGACGCGCAGCGCAGGGAGAGCCTCTTGATGTCGCAGCCGTCCAATTCGAGGGTCTCCAGGAGGGGGTGCGACAAGATGGCCTCGCGGTGCAGGCCCGCGTTCTGGGATTGTTGGGGGGTGGGGGAGGGGTTGGGGGGTGATTGTTGTGGTGGGATCACGCGGCCAGGAGCCGACCCGAGCCGGGGGTCCGGGTGAGGGCGTGTTGCGTGCGCAGGGGAGGGCAGGGCAGCGCGGCTCCACCTCGTCCCCCCGCGACGAGCCGCGCCGAACCGTGCCGGTGCCGCCTCAGGTGCCAGGCGAGGCAGGCTCCGCGGGGGCCAGCAGGCGTCCTGAGCAGAAGCGGAATCCCGTGAATTCCAGCTTGTACGAGTACCACGAACAGCCAAAAAGGTTCAAAAGGGTAAGGGGCGGCGGCCGCAACCACCTGCTTGTGGTCGTCGCCGCTGGCAAGCTTGACGAACTCCAGGCGCAGGGCCTTGAGGCGGGGCGCGGCCAAGAGGAGGGTGGCGCTCTTGGGCTGCAGCGTGGCGCCAGACACACGCAGGGACGCCAGCCTGGCGGTAGGGAATGGGTGTGGGGGACGTGTGTGTGTGACTGTGTGTGCTGGCTTGTGTGTGTGTTTATGCGCGTGTCTGTATGGGTGAGTATGTGTGTGCGTGAGAGAGAGAGCGTGTGTGTATGTGTGTGCGCGTGAGAGAGAGAGAGAGAGAGAGAATATGTGTGTGTGTCGACCGACAGGGCGCACAATCGTGGATACCAGCACCCGGCTCGACCCCCGCTCGCTCTCGACACCGCCGTCCAAACGGCCGTCCCGCGCACCCTCCATGCACGCCGCGGGGCCCCAGCCGCCGCCACCGCCGCAGCCACCCCTGGCGCGCGCACCTCGTCATGCGCGACAGCGCGCAGCCGAGCTGGCGCCTGTCGCCGGGGCCCTCGTCGCGCAGCACGTCAAGCAGGGCGAGGCGGCGGATACCGCGGTGGCGCGCCAGCACGGCCAGCAGCTGCGAGAGGGTGTGCGGCCGCGGGGCGGGCAGAGTGGGAAGGGGAGAGGCACGGCGAAACGGGTGAAAGGCAGAGTCAGGCCACGAGGAGATCTATTACAGGCTTCCTGTCATAGAATTGCACAGGGTGCAAAGCATAGTCTTCGAGCCTGATTTGGACCGGGTACCTGGCCGCCCTCGGGCAGCAAAAGAGACGTGCGGCGCGCTGGCCAGGGCAGCCTGCAGCCAGCCGCACCGCTGCCCATCTGTGCCCCACACCCCCGCCACGCACCTGCTCCCGTGTCACCGGCCGCGCCGTGTCAAAGGTGACCTCCTCCCAGAAGCTGTCTGAGTCAGCAACCTGGCGCCACAGCCGGCAGACGGCCGCGCAGGCGCAGATGCTGTGCACGCCGATGCCGCCCAGGATCGACTTCACCAGGTCGCTGCAGCACAGCACGCGCGCCACGGACCCCACGGGCTGCTGCTCGCCGGGCCACTGCTGCTGCTGCTGCTGCTGCTGCTGCTGCTGCTGCTGCTGCTGCTCCGGCGTGCCGCCGTCGCCAGGGCTGCTGGGCGGGGCCGGCGGGGCAGCGGTGGAGGGGGCTGGGG